GGAGATGTGCACAAGTCGATACCCAAACCAAAAAATCATTCAACTGTAACGAGCGCATTGGGGTATACATCGTTACAATGAGACAAGGTATGTGAAAGAAATATGGCGGAATACGGCTATCGTTGGTATGAACAATGATACATAGATGAAAATGTTGCGTTTTTAAGAATTCATGTCAGCTTTAAGGAATGAAGCTTCTGAACTTATGTTATCCGATATAACATAACTTCGGGGCAGATCTACGCTTTATAAACCGCGAAGCGGTTTATAAATAAGCTAAACTGCCCCAAGTTTTGTTATATCAGATACAGAAGTTGAAATAACTTTATTTCTTATAATTTAATTTCAAGGTAGACAATGAGACAATATTTCCTCCAGAAAGGCTTCAAAGTGAGCATTATTTTAAAAGTAACGTCAAGCGGAGTGATACGTTTTTGACGTAACTCATTGTGACGAAGGCAAGTTATGTTATACGAAATGGAAAAAACGTTTAACCAATCAAATTACGTGTTACAACTGAAATTAAATTATATGTATATAGTTATGCTAACTTATAAAATTTTTTTTTATCAATATCACCTCTTTCTATTTATTTTAGTACTTTGTTGCCGTTGCGATGTCGACAGATACTGATGAGCAGTGCGGGGTGGGCTGTTTCAGACCCACCTTCCTGCAGCGCTGCGCGAGGTCTTGGGTTTTTGTAGCCCTCTACAGCCCTGCCTCTCTCTGTACCTCAGCCATCTCTGTCTACATGTCTTCTCAAATCACCACCCTGGAGAAGCAGTTCGGCTTCACCAGCACACAAAGCGGCTTCCTCATGAGCTGTAACGACATCGGGTTTCTTCTGACGACGATCTTCGTCGCCCACCTTGCTAGAACAGTCCACATTCCTAGATCTCTTTTCATTTCCACCTTTTTATTCGGGATATCGGGATCTTCTGTTCCTGGCCTACTCCTGGCACCTGACAATCAGGAAGAGCAAACTATTGCTTCTTCCAATTCCTCCTCCGAGAAGACTGCTTTGTTTCAGAGTTTTCTCCATCAATTGTGCTCTAGGAAGCAACACACCCTCAGAAAGCTGTGATCCCAACTTGTTAGAAGTATTGGAGCGCCGACACAATTCACTACAGTGGCTATTGTTATTATTGCCGTGGGGATGATAGTGCAGGGGTTCGGGAAGGCCCCAAGACAGCCCTATATCATCACTTACATAGACGACAATGTACCCAAACGGAAGACCGCCTGTTTCGATAGGTAAAAGAGATTGTTATTACTCTGGTTTGTGATAAGACCTTCGGTTCCCATATAACTTAATTGGCTGTGGTCATTATATAAAAATGCTACATGATATGATTTTGAAAATGTTTAGATAAATAGATTCTAGTACTTCTGGGCTCTAAAGTGGATTTTATTTTGTCAATTTTTTTTTTTTCTCACAAGGGTTTTTTTTTTTTAAGTACCAGTCCACAAAAAAATCAGACAAAAGGGTGATATATGAGGGTTCTCAGAATTTGATGATTTTCCACTCATAGAAATATTTTGAAGTATGAACAATGTATGTAAGATGAAAAATGTTTTGAGTCATGGTAACCATGGAAACCCGGCCAAAGAAATTTCCTTAGCAACCGGCGGATTTTTCAGTGTTGAAGGACAAAAAATCACTTATCTTTGAGGCTTAAAATAACACATAAATACCATGAGAATTATTCTTACTTATGGATGTAATAAAGAGACACGTTTATTGTGTTCTAATAATGTAATAAAAAATATTTAGGTCTTAAGTCAGTTCTGTGGTAGACATTGGAAGGTACATGCTTTATAGTTTGCTGATTCAGCATTTTTTGTGAGTTTCCTGGTGTATATTCAGGCCAAATTTTAAAAATGGCCAGATTAATACAGTTGTTGGCAGGTATCTCACATAAAAGCAGAGGTATTTCTCTTTTAGAATTTGAAGTCAAATCCATGGGCTCTTTTGAAAATCGAATCTGTTGCCTAGCAACAAAAATGGGCTTTTTGATGCATAAAATGAGAAACAATGTAAAAAGTTTACGGAAAAATCAAATGAACGGTTATTTATAATAAACGAGATACAAATTTTAAAATAGTATAATAAAATTCGGTCTCCCTAGCACATTATTGAATATTGCATAATTCTTTATCTCCATAGCAACGGCATGTTCTCCATAGCAACAAGGCAAAGAAAGGTAATTTTGGCGTATATTCGTGTAATCTTATTAAGGCTTATTCAAAATAAGTCAGAAAAATCCGGTTGAGCAAAATTGACAATGAAATGTTGGTTTTATTATTATTGTTTTTTTTTGGGTAATTAATCAACCCATATGGCAAGGATTCCGTGTACATTACAACCAAAGTTCCTATGTCTCCTGTAAAACAGATATGACTTTGGGATTGTATTGTTTGTCATGGAATTGGATATTCAAGTAATATGCTGATAATTGCATGGTGATAGTTCGGAAAGACTTTAAAATGGTGTATCAAGTTATTGAATATTGTTCAATGACTTATTTCCTTAGCAACAACACCACTCCCCTAGCAACGATACAAAGAAAGTTTGACGCATATTCATGTTACCTGTAGATCTTTATCTAAATCACGTCATGAAGACAAAAATGATGTTGAAATGTTTGTTTTTCGAAAGTATTTTTAAACTCATGTAATCCATAACAACTATTTCTAGCACATAGCAAACAATGTTACATTTTTAGTATGGGATACTCTGTAGTCGTTATTCATAATATATTGAAAGATAGGCACTCGTCACAGATTTCTCAGAAAGTATTACAAAGTATAAAATTAATTCCTCGTGAAAATAAATAGATAAACAAAATGAATAACGTCACTATGGAAACATTTCCAATGATATTTCCAATTGAATAGGAAGATCAGGTTTTAATTATTCTATTGATACTTGTCATAGATTGGAGAGTTTTTTTTCCAAACGAAAAGAACTGTTCGCTGTAGCTCAAAGGTAGCACCTACTGCGTCCCACAGTGGGATTCGAACCCGCGACGTAAGGATCAGCTCTTTACTTCGTGACTCTAGTGAAGACACTCTAACCTCTGCTCCATGAGGGCGACGCGGCACATTAAAATAAATCAAAATAAGAAAAGTCGCATGGCAGTCAGTTACGGTTATTTACGTAAAATTGAAGTTTACACCATTTGAAAGAAATATTGCAAGATGATACAAATGAATTTAAAACATGGCTAGTCACACAAGTAGAAACTTTATTTTTGTATGTTGTTTGGTGAGATTTGCATTTATGTATAGTGCAAACATATTTCAAAAATTATGCAAACAATGGTCAGAGGGTAATCTTCATGTATCCGGTTAGTTCATATCTTAAAATGGAAATATACAAAAGCAAAACAACTGACATCGAACTCATACATGTAACACGGGGCCCATGGGCCACATCGCTCACCTGAGCACTGTGGCTAGGAAAAATCAATTCAGTAAATGTATGTATCAAACACGAATTATGAAATTTTTCTTCCAGTGACCTTGAACTTTCCCAAATGACCTTGGGTCAAGGTCATGACACACCCTTGGGTCATGGGCAATCTTTGAGTGAAATGAGAACCTACCAAGTTTATCCATAAGAAAGATATGGACCGGACACAAATTATGATATTTTTCTTCCAGTGACCTTGAACTTCCTTAAATGACCTTGAGTTAAGGTCATGACACATCCTTGGGTCATGGACAATCTTTGTGTGAAATGAGAACCCACCAAGTTTATCCATAAGAAAGATATAAACAGGACACAAATTATGAAATTTTTCTACCAGTGACTTTGATCTTCTTCAAATGACCTTGGGTCAAGGTCATGACACACCCTTGCTCATGGGCAATCTCTGTATGAAATGAGAACCTACCAAGTTTATCCATAAGAAAGATATGGACCGGACACAAATTATGAAATTTTTCTTCCAGTGACCTTGAACTTCCCCAAATGACCTTGTGCCAAAGTCATGACACACCCTTGGGTCATGGGCAATCTTTGTGTGAAATGAAAACCTACCAAGTTTATCAATAAGAAAGATATGGACCAGACAGGAATTATGAAAATTTTCTTCCAGTGACCTTAAACTTTCCCAAATGACCTTGGGTCAAGGTTATGACACATCCTTGGGTCATAGGCAATCTTTGTGTGAAATGAGAACCTACCAAGTTTATCCATAAAAGATATGTATCAAACATGATTTATGAAATTTTTTTCCAGTGACCTTGAACTTCCCCAAATAACCTTGGGTCAAGGTCATGACACACCCTTGGGTCATGGGCAATCTTTGTGTGAAATGAGAACCTACCAAGTTTATCCATAAGAAAGATATGGACCAGACAGGAATTATGAAAATTTTCTTCCAGTGACCTTAAACTTTCCCAAATGACCTTGGGTCAAGGTTATGACACATCCTTGGGTCATGGGCAATCTTTGTGTGAAATGAGAACCTACCAAGTTTATCCATAAAAGATATGTATCAAACATGATTTATGAAAATTTTTTTTTCCAGTGACCTTGAACTTCCCCAAATAACCTTGGGTCAAGGTCATGACACACCCTTGGGTCATGGGCAATCTTTGTGTGAAATGAGAACCTACCAAGTTTATCCATAAGAAAGATATGGACCGGACACGAATTATGAAATTTTTCTTCCTGTGACCTTGAACTTCCCCAAATGACCTTGGGTCAAGGTCATGACACACCTTTAGGTCATGAGAAATCTTAGTGTGGAGTGGGAGATTCTAATGTCCCTCTGTAAGAAAGATATGGACCGGACACGATTGCACAGACAGACGGACGGACGGACAGACGGACAAAGTGATTCCTATATACTCCCCCAAACTTCGTTTGCGGGGGGTATAAATATAATGTAAATCAAGTATTATGCCATAAATAGCTTTAAAGAAATTGGATCAAAATTTTTACAGGCATTACTTGAAAAATTGGTTCAAGGTTTACTGAACCAACTGAATCAGTAGGGCAATTCTTGTTTACACGAGACAACATTAAATATACCATATACACTCACTTGATAAGACTGTGAGAGGACCTTAAATCTGGCTCGTTTAGATGGAATAATGTTCTTCAGGAATTCCACTCTCCTTACATGTTCTTCTTCCTCATACTCCTCTGTTAAAGCCCAGTCTCCCTAAAATCAGGGGTTTACAAATGTTACTGTCGTGTCAAGTAATTCAATTCTTGTACATAGATTTAGATTCATTTAGATAGCATACTCTTTATACATGTATAAAGTTTATGAAGTTTTTTTTGTTTTTGATCTTGGTACTCATATTAACCAACCTTCTGACTCCTTATTTGCTGTAGTTTTTCATAGTGTTGTCGAGCTTGTAGTTCGTCGTTAGCTTCCTCATAAAACTCGCTCTGAGCTGTCTGGAAGTCTATAATCAGGTCAAATATCGTCCGCAACTGGGTTAAAATATCCTGTTTTAACAAAAACAATTAGTCAATAAAATCAGGTCAACTATACCCTCAGCTGGGTTTATGTCCTGCTATATACATAAAGTTTGATGTAAATCTTCGTCCCTCAAATTATAACATCCAAACAGTATAGCCTTTCTATTACCCCTTAATTTCAATCACCGTCCTTACCCTCGACTGCTCGTCCAGAAGACACCTGCTGATGACTGTGTTCAGGAAGACTTGATGGGCCGCTATGATGTTGTCAAAGTCCTCCGCTTCCTTCACTTTGGTCAACAGTTCATCCCAGGAACACTCCAACACCTACAAACACAAATCTTGTACATTCAAAGTCATTTAATTAGGCAATACCTTAAGGAACTACATATTGAAATATCTAATGAATATTTAATTTCATAACTTTATAAAGAATCTTACAAGCTGATGCTATATGTTGCTATCTAATTCATGTACATACAAAATAATGAAACAAACAAAAACTTCTCTTACCTCAAAATTGATATAATATTGCACTTGTTGAATGAAATGAACCATTTCACTGGCCAAAACGTAACATTGATGTAGAATGCCTGATAATTCTGAAAAGATAAAGAATTTGTTAACACATCTGTTTATGTTCTTTTATTTCTACATCTCTAATAATATTAATTATTCTAACTACATTTACCAGAATTTTAAAGTCTTCCTTATAACCTTTGTTTACCTGGAATACAACGAAGTGATCTAGAATTTGACGTTTGATTTTTCCACACAATGGCCAATATATATTCCATTCTCTTGGCACGCCATAAAAAGTTGAAAATTCTCAGTAACGACATCATGCATTGTGGAGTAAAAACCTATCATGGAAACCAAATAAAAATGTTAAATTCATTTTATAATGATTAATTTGTACACTGTACTTCTAATTTTCTAAAGAATGATTTAAATTTGATTTTATTAATTAAAGGAGAATTTACCGTTCTTATTGGTCCATCCACATGGTACTCCAAACTAAACACATCCCAGCCCTTGTCTCCCGGTGAAACCTAAAGAAATAGTCAAACTTTTACATCATTCAACAGCTGCAAACTACTTTAATACTTGTTAAAATCAATCTTTAATGTATTGAATCACTGAAATGACACTTTTTATAATACCTCCAGTAGCCTAACATCCAATCTCTTCAGGATGTCGGAGTCATCAAACTGGGCGTTGGTGGCCCTGATGGCCGTCTCCAGTATCCCGGACAGATTGTGGAGGTACAAGTTACTGGCGGGCTTGGCAAGATCATCTCTAAAAGAAATCACATCAAACATACATTGTAGTACAAATCTGTGTATAAAGAAAGCAAACACTGGTCCACACTACACTGATTCTTTTTTAACAAAAACCAAACAAAAGTAAAAAGGATTTTATTTAAAGCTCAAGCAAGCAAATTCTATCTTGCAATAACAATACATGGACATTTAATATTTTCATAATTGAAATGTTTTACACTGATAGAAAATACATCAGAAGCAAGACTGCAATAATTTGCGTCCTTCCTGCAATTTTGTATTAAACTGGGCACAACTTTACTTTAAGAATTGACCTGCTACAAATATTTCAGATATCCATACAATAATTAGTTTTAAATACTGTATGTACAGGGTTATTTTCGCCCCGCTTAATATTTGCCCTTTCACACTTGCAAACAATTTTGCCCTGTCTTACATTCGCTCAGTCACAGTTCTGTTTGCAAAACTTGTAAAACATGTGTACCTTCCAATGTCTACCACAGAACTGACTTAAGACCTAAATATTTGTTATTACATTATCAGAACACAATAAATGTGTATCTTAATTACACTCATAAGTAAGAATAATTCTCATGGTATTTACGTGTTATTTTAAGCCTCAAAGATAGGTGATTTTTTGTCCTTCAACACTGAAAAATCCGCCGGATGCTAAGGAAATTTCTTTGGCCGGGTTTCCATGGTTACCATGACTCAAAACATTTTTCATTTTAGATACATTGTTCGTACTTCAAAATAAATCTATAGTGGAAAATCATCAAATTCTGAAAACCTTCATGTATCACTTTTTTACAGTTTTGTCTGATTATGTTCCCCAAACGAAGTTGGGGAACATATTGTTTTTACTCTGTTTCTTATTATTATTATTATTATTATTATTATGTTCCCCAAACGAAGTTTGGGAACATATTGTTTTTACTTTTTCTGAATTTTTTCTTTGTTCTCCGGTATTTTTTGTCCGCGAGTGTTCTCGTAAACTACTCATCCGATCTAGGTGAAACCTTTTGGGTCACTAGGTATGTTATGTAGATGTGCGGAACGAAGGTC